AGTCATTTAGACCTTATCTTGATTAAAGTCATTTTTATTTCATGTAAATTTCATTTACTGTGAAACTTTATGAGAATGTCTTTTAGACAAAATAGATCAACCTGTTTGGACTGGTTTAAATGCTTTTTTAACCTTTTGTACTTGTAATTTGAAATCTTGTATGGTTTTTACTAGGGACTGAAAAAACCATATAATCCTATCCTTGGTGAGACTTTCCGCTGCTTATGGATTCATCCCAGAACAAACAGCAAAACTTTTTATATTGCTGAACAGGTATGAGAAATGCATATTATAAAAATGATTTGGAAGTTATTGGGACATTTTTATGTAAAACATTAACTTGGTAAAATCACTATTATTTAACCTTTTAGTAAATGTTTGCTAAGCATTTAACCTTTTATTACTAAATACTACTAAATACCACACTCCTGAGCATTACTATTAAAATCCTAGGATTCTTCCAACGAAAAGAAAATCTTTAATTTTTCCTTCTCCACCCTTTTAATTTATTTGTGTAATGTTTTTTTACTGAGTCTATATTTCCCAAAACATCTTTTTGTTCATATTAAAAAATCTTCAGTAGTTTTCCAGTTCCAAAAGCAGGTTTGCCTGGCATTTAAGATCTTCTGATTATTTCTAAATAATGTCAAATTAAATGCCTTTCTAGAGAGTCACACCTATACATTCACAATTAAGTAACCTGATCTTGTATTCTCCTGCCTCGTTATTTATTTTAAGTTTTATTCTTTTAGGTTTTTTTGAGACAGGGTCTCCCTGTAACTCCAGCTGACTTGGAACTCACTATGTAGCCCAGGCTGGCCTTGATCTCTGAGAGATCTGCATGCCTCTGTCTCTTGATTGCTGGGTTTAAAGGTATGCACCACCATCTAGCCTTCATTATTTTAAGTTTAGTTCCCCCATGCAGTGTTTCTTATCAGCCGTTCTTCCTCTAGACAAACCCTGGCCAGATCATTCTTGCTCTTCAGATAATTGCACTTTCTGAAAGGTATATTTGTTTTCTGAGCTTAGCGATTAAGCTGTTACTTTAGCATGAATAGGATATACCTCATTGTAAAATGTTGATTTCCCTAAAAGAATACTTAGGAGCCAGGCATGGTGGCACAAGCCTTTAATCCCAGTACTTGGGTGGCAGAGGCAGGCAGGTCTTTGTGAGTTTGAGGCCAGTCTGGTCTACATAGCGATTCCAGGCCAGCTGGGGCTACAGGGAGACCCTGCCTCAAAAACACACACGAAAAAAAAAAAAAAAAAAGAAAAGAAAATATTAGTATTTCTTAGTTTTTAAACTTTTGTTAATTTAAACTTGGGTCTTTTTTCATGGTTCTCCATGTTATCTCCTGTCAGCACAAAGCTGGGAAAGGTGTTCTTTCATCTTATTACAATAATTCTCACCTTTAGTATAATGAAGATGAATATACTACATCTCCTTTGAAAACCTTCCTCTTCCCCTAGAGTTTTTTTGTATATTCTGCAGGTTGAAACCACTTATCTTTATTTTAAGAAATTGATGGCTCTACCACCTTCATTCTAGTTTGTTATAATTCTTTACTAAATTGAAAGCTTAAGAAAAATTTAAGAAATTTTAGCTTTGTCTCATTTCAGAAAACATAGATACAAATATACTGAAAACATTTAATTATTAAAATAATATATCTATCAAAGCTTTTGTTTCATCTGAATGAAAAATAATCAATGGCTAATAAGTAATTTATTGCTGTGTAACAGATTATTAATAATTGGATGAGTGGAAGTGTTTATTATCTTATATGAGATTCACAAATTTGGGAGCTGTTTAGGTGGTTCTGGGTCAAGTTAGGGTTTCTTACATGGTTTCCGTCAAGATGTTATCCAGTTTGTAATCATCTGTAGGTTTCACTAGGATGGAACATTGACTTCTATGATCATCCTATGGCTGTTAAAAAGAGATACAAGACCAACTCTTAAGCTGGTAGCTATATTATAAAGTTAGAAATTATGTAGTATCATTTCCACACAAACTGTTGTTGATTCAGTGTAAGGGGCACTGAACTGTTTACAGCGAATGCCAGAAAATGGAGTACCCTGGAAGACAAGAAATCTGGTTATGGGAACCATTAGTATTTTGATACTAGCACAACAGTATGCTTATTTTGTTGCATGTTATGACTTTTCCTATGTTCAATAGGTGTCCCATCATCCACCAATATCTGCCTTTTATGTCAGTAACCGAAAAGATGGATTTTGCCTTAGTGGTAGTATCCTGGCTAAGTCCAAGTTTTATGGTGAGTTCCCCCTTGTCCTAGGCTGCATTTTTCTAAGAAGGAGTGTCTTTCTGGTGAGTTGTAATTACAATAAAATTACTTTTGTTTGCTGTTTGTGTCAAGGAATTTTTGTCTTTAAGGCATCATCTTTAATAATGACCTTTTCTTGCCCATTTAGAAGTGAGGCTTATTTTATCTAACTGTTAATCACATATATGTAAAAGCATCACATTCCTTCCTTTTGGGAAGACAGAATGAGTAGCCACTATGTCCCTCTAGTGCATAATGTTTCTTTTGCCTTTACTCTCAATCAGTGTTGTTTTGTCTCCACATACCTTTTAATCTTGAATACAGAGAGACAGAATCCAAATATAGGTTAGTAATGATATTTAACCTTGAGCCAAACAACATACCATTTATATTAAATGTTCAGGAGAGACTGAACAGAACCTAACATTAACTACTATGGACATATCTTAGCTACAGGATACTAACAATATAAAGTGAACACGACGCAGTAATATAGACAAATCTGAAAAAATGCTGTGCTGAGTGAAATAAGCCAAATAAATTATTCTATCATGCTCTCTATTCAGAATTCTAGAATTGGTAAAAATAGAAAACAGATCAGTGTTTCCTCAGGATAGTGGGGACTTTTTTAGAGTGATAGTATTTTGATTGATTGATTGATTGATTGATTGATTGATTGATTGATTGATTGACGGAGAGAGGGAGAGAGGGAGAGAGGGAGGGAGAGGGAGAGGGAGAGAGAGAGAGAAAGAGAGAAAGAGAACTGGGGATCAAACCCCAAGACTTGTGCATGCTAAGTAAGTGCTATACTACCGAGCTACATTCCCACCCTTTTTTCAGATGGTCTTTCTGTGTGGCTTAGGCTGACACTGAACTGAGTCTTCCTGTGTCTGCCTCCCAGATGTTGAGATTAAAGTGTGTGCTACTAGGCAGTTTTATACTTTAATTGTGGTAGTAATTTTAGACTTCTTCGTGCAGTACCCCAAACTACCATATTTAATGATTAAAATGGACCATTCATTGTATGTAAATTATATTCCAATAAAGATGCAGATGTGAGGAATGAAAAAACAAAGGCTAGAAGAAATTGCTGTGGCATATTATCATCTGGATTATGTGTATTTTTAATTATAAGATTATAGCAATTATAAATATTTAAAGTTTGAGACAAATATGTGATTTACAGATAAATGTTTTGATTCAGAAAAGACAAATTGAGCTCTACAATGAAATAGTATTTTACTGGCTAGTGTGCATATTGGGATTGATTTCATTTTACTATCCTAAAATAACATATATAGCTATACTTTTTGAAAATACTCATTTTGTAAGATTGGGAATATAAATCAAATAATGTTTTAATTATAAGGTGATGAATATGTGTTTCAGTGCATTGTGATTGAGATATTTTGACTATTATAGTGGAAGTATGTAGTAGATATCCTAAATATACTTTGTTTTGAATTGGTTTGATTAGTTTTGTGAAATTTAATAAACTATTTTTGTTTTAGGAAACTCATTATCTGCAATATTAGAGGGAGAAGCCCGGTTAACTTTCTTGAATAGAGGTGAAGATTACGTAATGACAATGCCATATGCTCATTGTAAAGGTAAATATTTTCCATACTTCTATCAGATATTTCTTAAAACTTCTTTGTAAATAAATGTAAGCAAATGTTTGATACAAAATCAGACATATTTGTTTCAAAACATTCTTGGTTCATAGTTACTTAGGAATATTGCTATTTGCTGCTTATTTCTATGGGGAATTAATTCACACATAATGGACTATTATAACACATACTTTCATTGGAAGAAACTGATTTGTAATCGTGGAATCCTCTTGCATGGTTACCTTCTGTGCAGATTTTGAAATGAGATGAAACTGCCTATTATTTTAGAATTCTTAAAAGTGATTTTAAGTGATCTTATACTGTCATCCTTTATAAAATTTATATTTGCTATTTTTTGGTATTTCAAGTACTTTAAAAGTTTTTTCTCACTTTCATTTAACAATTTCTTTTTTTGTTTTGTGTTTTGATTGCTTTAAGACACAGCCTTGCTATGTAGCCCAGGCTGGCCTTGAACTCAGTGTTCTCTGCCTCGGCCTTCCTAGTGTTGAGATCACTGGCACATGCCACCACAGGCTAGAAAACGCTCAGAGCCTGTATTTAGTTCCTAAAATGGTAGTGAAGTGAAATGTGTATAATTTTACATGAATTAGAATACATATTTTTAAGTTTTATACCGTTTATTCCATGTAGATGCCTGACTAGGAAAATGCTGATTCTTTTTTTTTTTTTTTTAAGATTTTCTACGTATGTTTTCTAAAATGTGTTTCTCATGTCACTGTCTCATGAATTATTTTATAAAATAAGAGTTCCATGGCCGAGAAGTATGAGAAAGACTTCATTATCTGTTCTGTCTCAGAAATTAACATTGACATTTACATATTAAAGACTACCCCTGCCTGCTGCTGAATTCAGCAGCAGATGCACTTGTATCCACAGCCTCTTTAGCTTTCTTTAACTTAGACTTGCCCAGTTTTTGACCATAGAACCTATTTTGTGGTTTTGTTTGCTTAACTTACGTGAAAGTTGATTCTTATTATTTATAGTAAGTAATATTCTATAAAGTCACCAAAAACTCTGAATTAGCACATACATTGTTCCTAGAGTAATTTTGCCATTAGGTTATTTTTATTTTATTTTATTTTATTTTTTTTTTTACTTTATGTATATGTGTGTATTGCCTGCATGTAGGTAAGTGCACCCATGTCATGCAATGCCCATGGAGGTCAAAAGAGGCTGTCAGATCCCCTGGAACTGAAGTTACGGATAGTTGTTAGCTGCCATGTGGGTGCTAGGATTCGAACCTGGGTATTCTGCAAGAACAACCAGTGTTCTTAACCACTGAGCCATCTCTCCAGCCCCTGTTAGGTTATTTTTGAGCCTCATCACAATATTTCCATCAATTAATCAGTACATAACCTTGTTTTATGTGTGCTTATATTTAGAGGCATCTTATTTAACATTCATTATACATTGTTGATTCATTGCCGTTGAACTACCAACCAACACTATAACTCACAACTGGATGAAGCATTAGCACATACAATTCCTTTGTAAGGTATATCATAGCTTTGTTTATCAGAACATTATGCCATAGCACTTCATTCACTAGATCAGTCTTAAACAGAAAAATCATCAACAAAAGTGCAAAAAGTAACCCTAAAAACCCGGCAGAAGGAGCACTTGTTCTCTTTACGGTATGGGAATTGAATCAACACAGTGTGCCTAGTTCCACCTCAGCATTTGTTTATCCCCAAGCATGCCAGTGAATTATAACAAAATGTGGTGGATGTTGATCTCAGGATTACTTATAAATTTTAAAGAATAAGTGAAATTGCAAATAATTAGTCTTCACATAGTATGGATAAGCTATTTATACCTTTGATTTTTTTTACAGAATGTCCTTAAATTACAGTTTTTCCTAGATTTAAATATAAAACACTGTTTATTTTAGCTCAGTATCTCTGTCTTTAACCTTTTGTCAATGTTTTTTCTTTAGGAATTCTTTATGGCACAATGACACTGGAGCTTGGTGGGATTGTCAATATTACCTGTCAAAAAACTGGATACAGTGCAGTACTTGAATTTAAACTAAAGGTTGGTACATGATATCACCTAATTAAAGGGAAACTGTGCTATAAATACTAAACAAAAAAAAATACAGTTCTGAGTTGAGAACTAAATATAAAAACATGATTTATGTCAGGTCTGAGAGAGTTGTATTTGATGGATAAGAATAGGCCTCTGTGAGCATCTTGGGACAGCCAGAGACTACAGCCTTAGAAAATACAAATAAACATTTAGCCACCATTTCTTTTGCCTTTAATTTAATTTTAATAAATAAAACTTGATATTATAGAGGAAACATGACTTAAATGATTGGATTGAAATGCCTCTGTAAATTAAATGTATTATTTTATGAAATCCTAGGTGGTATATATGAACTTGGATTCTCAATGTGTACACTAAGACAGTGTTGTATTAATTATTATTTCTGCATAAAAAGTTACTTCAACCTGCAGGCTTAGAAATAAGCATGTACTATTGGAGATGGCTTGTCTCTTACAAAATGTCTGGGACCTCATCAAACGTCTTAAGATAAGACTAACTCAGCTGTTGAGACAGGAATCATCTGAAGACTTACCCACTTATGAGGCTGATGCCTAAAGGACCAGGACTGGTACTCCAAGCACCTGTTTATGTGGCCTTCCCATGTGACTTGACTTCCTCATAGAATGGAGGCTTCAAGGTTGTCTCACTTGGCAGCATAAGGTTTCCAAATACAAGTGTCCCTAGTAAGCAAGGCCAAATCTCATTTGCCTTCCATCCGTTAGCCTCAGAAGCCAAGTCATGTCATCTCCACCATTTTCTACTACAGAATTGCATGCCCACCCAAGCTCAGGGGAAGGGGACTTTGACCTTCTCAGTAGGAGGCTGGCAAGATCTCACTGAAGAGGAACATGGGGGTTGGAGAGGAAAAAAGTAGATATTGTTAAAGCCATCTTCGTAAAGTTCTGTCTGCCTCAAAGGAAAATTTGAGACGTTTTCACAGTGTCAGTTGTTGTGAGACAGTATGTTATGTTAATAATAGGAACTTATAATAATATTTATTGCTAAAGTGATCCCATGTTGATACAGATGACTGGCATCTCCAGTCTAATGAAAAAGAACTCCGAATATCATTTGAAGCAATACCCTGTGTTTGATTTATCACCTTTGTAAACTTTTACTTATATGGCGATACTGGTTTGAAAATCATAATTAAAGTTTTAAACAATAATGCTATTAAGTATTGGCACATCACAATTTTGTTTCTAAGACATTAGTAAGACAATATAGTAACCCAAAGTATGTTCCTTCTAATTTTATTTTTTGGAAGGATTGTTTGGGTTATATATTTTACTTTCCTATACAGGAAGAGATGTTATTTCAGTAGGTTTTTAAATTACTTTGGTTTCCTGAGTTGCTTTGTTTAATGTGTTGCTGAATTGATAAGGCACAGTCTTGGAAGTTAGGCAAGATCATAGTACTAGAGACCACACTGGACTTGAATCACTTAAATTTTTGTGATCCTTCTGAATATTCAGACTGCATAATCTGTTTTTAGCTATGCTTTTCAAATTTAAATTATTTCTATTAAAAATTTCTAAGTAAAATTGAGTCATGATTGTACTATGCCTTCAAGAGTACTGTAACTATATGTAGCTTCTTTGGAGTATGGTTATCTACATTGTATGTAAATGTAAATTACAATAAAATGCTCAACATTTTCTCTTTTAAAAGCCATTTCTAGGGAGTAGTGACTGTGTTAATCAAATATCAGGGAGACTTAAATTGGGAAAAGAAGTCCTAGCTACTTTGGAAGGCCATTGGGTAAGTACTTTTAATGTCAGCATTTTTATCTGGTGGAGAAAAATGAAGAATCCTGTTTTGAAAAGCAACACTAGTTTTTAAAAGTAGATATTTTAGTGTCACTCTATTACCAGGTTTTTGTTTTATCTAATGTTTCACCTTTCTAAAACTTGTAAATCAGTAGAAGTAACTAATAGTTATGTCACGTCCATGTACAATATCAAGAATGTAGTTCATATTAATCATTTAGTGCTTAGTTTAACCCCATGAAGTGGGTAAATAGATACCTATGAATTTTTTTGCATTATTTATTTAGCGTGTGTATGTGTGTGTGTGTGTGTGTATGTGTGTGTGAGCACACGCGCCATGATGTGCATTTGGAAGCCAGAGAACAAACTTGCAGAAGTCAATTCTGTTGTTCCACCATGTCTGTACCAGGAATTAAACTAAGGTCATCAGGCTTGGCAGCAAACACCTTTGCTTGGTGAGCATCTTAACAGCCAATATATACTCATTTTATCGTTGCTTGTTACTGTTCTCATTTTATAAAGGAGGAAACTAAAATACAGAACATTTGAATAATTAGCATAAAGTAAGTAGTGAGCTAAGAATTTCAGTCCTGGAACTCTGGCTATAGAACTGTACTTTTATGTTCAGCACTTCACTACCTCTCAACTAGTTCCAGTGACACAGAGGATATACTGTTTTCTGCATTACTAATAAGCAAAAAAAAGTGGAACTTGATTTAAATTTCTTTTTAAAAAACTTCATTAAAATGAAACTCAGGCAAGTGGCTATATAGGTTCTGAAAAAAAAATTAATTACATATTTCTTTATTTGTTTATTTATGCATGTAAGGGGATAGAGGGTGTGAGTACTGGCGTGTGTGCCATAGAGCATGTGTGAAGGTCAGAAGACAACATTTGGGAATCAGTTCTCTCCTCCTACCACATGGATCCTAGAGATGGAATTCAAGCTGTCAGGCTTGGCAGCAGGCATCTTTACTCATGGAGCCATCTTACTGGCCCCTGCAAAATGTTTTAATTGCTTTCCCATCTGAATGATATTTGGAAAAAATGATAAAGCAGTCATTTTTAAAACATAAAATTTCTAAGCCTGTGCTCAGTTTTTAATGCTAAGAAAAGACTCTGGGAGTTTTTAATATTTGGAGCCCCTGGATAGTCCACAGCATCTCATGGTCACTGTATGCACTCTGATGTGGAAGATCAGACATGGAGCTTGAGGCTTTGCCTGTAGTGTTTGAAATTTGTTAAATAAAACTTGGAAAATACCATGAACTTTCTATGTAGTAGGCCAGTTTTTTAATTGACTAGTATTACATATGTAACCAAAAAACTTGTAAAATCTCATGAACTTTCTATATAGTTGGCCAGTTTTTTAATTGACTAGTATTACATATGTAACCTCATTTTTATACAAATTGAAAGAATTTGGGACTTTGAGAAATGTGGTAGTTATTTTTGTTTTAAAATGGTTTACTACAATTCAGCAGAAGGAAAGATTTGTCATTGTATTGCTATACTTTGAAATCCTCTTCTGAATAAAAATGATTCTCTACATTAATGCTTAATTTCTTTACAGGATAGTGAAGTTTTCATTAATGACAAAAAGACTGATAACTCAGAGGTTTTCTGGAATCCAACACCTGACATTAAGCAATGGAGATTAATAAGGCACACTGTAAAATTTGAAGAGCAGGATGATTTTGAATCAGAGAAGTAAGCATACCATTTTTCAGCTAACTTCATGAAGATATAAGAAGTATCTTTACATCCCATAATGGTGTAATCACCATTCTCTGTCATCACTTCAGTTTGGCAAAAGAGCTTGTGGTTTGTGGGATATGAAAAAGTATCCTGTAATGGTCTATGTGTATGTCCGATAAATACAGTACAAATCATCTTGTTTTTCTGCAGCTTGTAACTAAAATTTCATATTTTTTCCTTTCTCTTCTAGTCCAGTGCCTTATTTTTGTTTGTTTGTTTGCATGCAATTATAGAATCACTTGGTACAGTGGCACATGCCTTTAATCCCAACACTCACTTGGAAGGCAGAGGCACACAGATCTCTGTGAGATCGAGTTCTAGACCAGTCAGGGCTACCGAGAGACTGTCTCAAAAAAAAAAAAAAAAAAAAAATTTAATGATAGTAATAGTACAAAATAAAGTAGAATCTATAGTGGCTCTTAGTTTCTCCCTGGCAACTGCTTTCCAACCTAGTACAGATGTGTAGAGAGTAAAGGGAATGGTACAGAAGCTACTTTGTTCTGTCCTTTTAAAGAACAAGGATGTCCCAGTTTTCAAAGGACTTAATAGTAGTTGGACAGTAGTTAATGCCATCATGGCTCTTAAGTCATCTTACGCTTTTGAATAAAAATATTGTTTGTATCTCTTTGTATTAAGAGGAGTTCTGTATAAAAGATACTTTACTGGGCACTTTACACCTATAAGCTCTTGCTGTATAGGAGCCTCTTGCTGTATAAGCGTGAGCCCCTGCTGTATGGGAGCCTTGCTGTATGATCCTAATGCATGTCATTCTCTTTCATGATTTATGTTGCCATTTACTTTCCCTTCTACATAACAATTCAGGTGGCCAAAGTTGGAAAGTGTGTATGCTATGCATCAATTTTATCTATTTCAGATGCAACCATATGATGCTCCTTGTGCAAAGCTGTTTTCCAAAGACATGGAACAATTTTTGAGATGTAAATATAATTCAACATTTTTGACTTTTTGAAAAAGAGTTTCATGCAGGCCAAGGTGGCCACAGACTCACTATATAGCTAAGGTTGGCCTTGAACTACTGATCCTCCTGCCTCCACCTCCCAAATGCTGAGATTATGCACATGTGCCACTGGTCCCAGCTTAACATATTTTAGAGATGAGGTAATATGATGTAGAAAGCGAAACTTTTTTATTTTATGTGTATGAGTGTATTGTCTGTATGTATGTGAGTGCACTGTGTCATGCAATTCCGTGGAGGTCAGAAGAGGGCCTTGGATTCCCCTGTAACTGGAGTTAAGGACAGTTCATAGCTACCATGTGGGTGCTGGGGATTGAATCCAAGTCCTCTGCAAGAGTAGTTAGTGCTCTTAACCACTGAGCCATCTCTCCAGCCCCAGAAAGAGAAACGTTTTACCATCTAAGTGACATAGGATTCAACCTGCGTGTGACTAATTTCAAAGCATCTTTCAGTTTCAACATGTCACCTTCTAAGATAACTGAGATGTTATACTCTTAATTTAGCTGATAAAAAAAAAAAAACACCTAATTTTAATAGGGGGAATTATTTTCCTCATGCTGTTTTTCTTAAATCAGTGGTTCTCAACAATGTTGGCATGTTTAAATCTAGGAAGCATCAAAAAAAGTCTGTTCTTGGGCCCATTCCTAGAGACTGAATTTAAGAGTTCTCTGATAATTCATGCATCCATGACCTATTGTGGGTCATCATGAAGCCTGTGACTCTTAACTAGTATGTGTTAGAAGCACCCAGGGAGCTTGTTGAAAATGTAGATTCTTTTGCACCCTTCCATCACTGTATTTCTAGCACCTCAGTCAGCACTATTCACCATCATATGTTTAAACCCATGTAATCAATTTCTCTTGACAGAAGAAATTAGTCTTCACTAATTAGTAGTTGTCTTGCTACTCAAGTCACTGGACTTTTGTATCTTCACTCATTCCTAAACATAAGATCATTGGGAAAGCCAGAAATACACATTATTTTCTTTCAATGGAAATAAAACCTGTTTTGTGTAGATTTGATTTTCTGGTTGCTTTTTTTTAAAAAAAATACTATTTTGTGCATGTATTAGACTCTGGCAGCGAGTAACACGAGCCATAAATGCCAAAGACCAAACAGAAGCTACTCAAGAGAAGTATGTTTTGGAAGAAGCTCAAAGGCAAGCTGCCCGAGATCGGAAAACAAAAAATGAAGAGTGGGCTTGTAAGTTATTTGAACTTGATCCACTCACAGGAGAATGGCATTATAAGTTTTCAGAGTAAGTCTTTAAAGAGTTTCTTATAAATAATAGATTAGCATAGTTCATTGCTTTTATTTCTAATATATTTATTTTTCTTTTTTTCTTTTTTAAAATATCTTATTTAATATTTTTATTTTATGTATATGCGTGTATTGCCTGCATGTAGGTAAATGCACCCATGTTGTGCAATGCCCATGGGAGACAGAAGAGGTTGTCAGATCTCCTGGAACTGGAGTTACGGACAGTTGTTAACTACCATGTGGGTGCTGGGATTCGAACCCAGGTCTTCTGCAAGAACAGTCAGTGTTCTTAACTGCTGAGCCATCTCTCCAGCCCCCTCTAGTATATTTATTTTTCATCAACATAAAAATTTTAGTGTGAGTTTTTTTTAAAACTTGATATTCTGTTCATTTTACACTCTTTGATAGTAGTTAGCCTACTAAATATAAGCTAAGGATCAAAAGTTAGATATAGACAAATCTTAAGATTAGAACAGTATTTTAATTAATTAATGAAAATCTAATCATAGATAGAAACTTTAAGTTCTTATTTGGTCATTAAAATACTTTTGTTTTTGTTTTTCTCGTTTATTCAGTACCCGACCATGGGACCCACTTAATGATATGATACAGTTTGAAAAAGATGGTGTTATCCAGACCAAAGTTAAACATCGCACTCCAATGGTATGTAACATAAAAGTAACTAGATCTGCTAGGCATATGAATTTGCTAAATGTTCAGTATCTATGGCAGCTACATATAAAATTTAGTTTCAAAATTTAAAACTTTAGGTAAGCAAAATTGCATAGCAGGAAGCTCTAAGGTCTTTACACTCTAAAGAAACATCAGCAAACAAAAGCTATCAGAACAAAAATTACCAGAACTGGAAAATGTTCAAACATTTGCAACAACTAAGGGAATAGTGGACAAAGGTAGTGTAAAAACAGTAGGAAGACTTGACAGCATTGGATAGCCCTTGCCTCTCTTCCTTCCTGGTACAGCTGCAGTCTTGTAAGATTCCTGTGTTCCAACTTAAGTCCCTGACTCCAGAGGGTGCAAAGCCCCCACCCCCCCATACACAATATCATATATTTTCCTAACTTATCAGGATATTTGCTACCTAGAGGACTCATGTAGAACTCTCATCTCTGAGAATGTCAGTAAAGTGAAATTACACAAAGGAATTAAACATAAATTCTACAACTACAGTAATGGGGAAATTTCACTAGGGGAATCCAGCAACAGATTTGAGCAGGTACAAGATAGAATCAGTTACCTAACAGATAAAACTGATTCAAGTTACTCAATATGGGAAGCAGAAGGAAAAATGAGTGAAAAAAGTAAACAAAGCCTGAGACACCCTTTGGGACACCATCTAGTAGGTCATCATATGCACCTTGGATTCCACAAGGAGACGAGAGAGAGAAACAGGTAAATGTGCTTAAGAAAAGGCTCTGAGATTCCCAGATTTAGTGACAGATATGACTCTACAAATCTAAGACATTCAACAGTTTCTGAGTAGAATAAACTCACTCACACCATGGTGGACTGTTCAAAGCCAAAAGGAGAGCCTTAAAGCAGCAAGAGAGAAAGAACTTGTTGCATAAAAATTTTTAACAGATAACTTTATCTTATAGATTTAAAAAATCTTTAATAAATTAATTCAGCAAGGTTTCAGGGTATAAAATGAATACACAAATACTTGTGTTTCTATAACTTGCTGTGAGGAATCCCAAAAGGAAATTTAGAAAGCAGTTCAGGAGCTGGAGAGATGGCTCAGTAGTTAAGAGCACTTGCTGCTCTTGCAGAGGACTAGGGTTTGGTTCTCAGCACCCATATGGCAGCTCACAGTCATGTTATAGCTCACAGTGTGTAACTCAAGTTCCAGGAAATCTGACACCCTTTTCTGGCCTCTGCAGGCACCAGGCACATACTTGGTGCACATATATACACGCAGGCAAAACATTTGTGCACACAAAGTAAAAATAAGTCTTTAAAAATATAGATAAGTGCTGGGCGTGGTGGCACATGCCTGTAGTCCCAGTACTTGGGAGGCAGAGGCAGGCGAATTTCTGTGAGTTCAAGGCCAGCCTGGTCTACAAAGTGAGTTCCAGGCCAGCTGGGGCTACAGGGAGACCCTGTCTCAAAAAGACCAAAAAAAAAAAAAGAAATAGATGATTGATAGATAGATAGATAGATAGATAGATAGATAGATAGATAGATAGATAGATAGATAGATAGATAGATAGATAGATAGATAGATAGATAGATAGATAGATAGATAGATAGATAGATAGATAGAGTAAAATAAAGATTAAAACACTTTTTTAAAAAGAAAGCAGTTCAATTTATAGTAACATCCAGAAGAAAAATACCTAGCAATAAATTGAACCAAGATGTGGAAGGCTTGTGCAGTGAAAACCGTAAAATATTGTGGAAGAAATAAAATAAGACGTAAATAAATGAAAAGATAATCCATTTTCTTAGACAGGAAGAGTTCATATTGTTAAGATGCATGTGTCCCAAAACTTGAAAATACGTAAATAAAATAAGCCCAGCTCTAAAGGACAAATAGTATATGGTTTTCAAATAAGCAAATTCATGGAGACAAAGTAGACAAAATCTTTAAAATGATGAAAAATGCTCTGGAAATAGTAGTCATCGTTATACAGCACTGTGAAACAACAACTAGTGCTGGTGGATTATAGGTAGTTGTTAAAACAGCAAAATTGATCCTAGACATGCTATCACAATTTTTAAAATGAAAAAATGTTTTAAATTGTCCTTCTGACACAGTAGAGATACATGAGACAACTCTGCCTCCTCCTAAAGGCAGACTTTATGACAATCAATCTTCATACATCCCTAATTGCTGACTCTCTTTGTCATTTTGCGAACTCCCAAACTTAAAGTAGGAGTGTAGGCTTAATCTACAACCTGCCTACTCAGTATACATTATAAAAATTACATTTCAAGTACATATATAAGGTTTTACAAAATTGTTCCAAGGAATAATCAGGGATATTTTCTTGACTTGTAACTACTGACTTCCTGTATTCCTTCATGTATTTCTAAGCATGTATATTGCCTTACTTTCCTGATTCTAGTTTTTTAGGACTGGTCACCAGAATTACAAACCTATTAATTATTATTCTAAAGTTTATTATCCTACAGAAAATTCGGTCCTAGTTGATATTTAGTATACTTTGAATCTTATGCCTGCCCGTAGATTTTTCAGTGAGTTTAGGTATACTGAAAAACATTAGTATTATTCCTGTTTGTCAGAAAACGCTTCCTGTATTACCCAGGTATCACTAAAAATAAATAATTTAAATTTTCTTTTTTTTTTTCTATCATTTTGAGTCAGGGTCTCCCTGTTGCCCTAGCTGGCCTGGAACTCAGTATGTAGTCCAGGCTGGCCTTGAACTCACAGAGATTCCCCTGCCTCTGCCTCCCTAGTGCTGGGATTAAAGGCATGTGCCAGCACACCCAGCTTAAGTTTTCTTATATACCCAATATCAGTGGGAATGTTTCTAACATTGGGAACAACATAAGAATGGTTTTTAAACAGTGCTATTTAATATTCCACTGGAGATATCTGGGACAGTCACAGTGATTGGGATAGATGTTCCTGTCTGTATGTATATGCTTAAAATGTCTCTGGAAGGATATATAAGCTAATAGCTGTGGGTACCTATTTTTGTAAAGGAGGTATTGGGCTAAGGGTGAGAAATGGAAGAGAAATTACTTACTAAATTTTTTTACTCTAATACTTGTACCCAATTAAAATCAGATAATTGGCTTGCTAAGTGCAATGCATCTTATTTGCTAAATTTTCATTAGATTGTTTCCTTTAATCTTTATTTCTGAAGCTCATGCCCATGAATAGTTTTTTTTTTCTTTTTTCCCATGAGCAGTTTTGACAGCTGTACAACAGCAGTCTTTATTTACAGACCACAGTACAAGCTCACATAATAGCATGATCTTTTTCAGGTTAGTGTTCCAAAAATGAAACATAAACCAACGAGACAACAGAAGAAAGTGGCAAAAGGCTATTCCTCCCCAGAACCTGATATCCAAGACTCATCTGGAAGTGAAGGTAAAAATACTTAACTGCAGATTATTCACTGAGTCATTTTTTTTAAAAAAGTCAAATACTTACCTTAAAATATAAAAGATTGGTAATTATAAGGTCATCAATGAAAAGTATTAATGTAATGACCCACTGAATATATGGTTTCAAGAGAGCTATGAAAAACATTTTTTACAATATATTTATAGCATATGCTATAAATATATAGCATCTTATTTTTGTTAATTGGTACTTTGTAGCAATTATAAAATACTTTAAATATATGTTGTTCTTCCAAATTTAAAAGATAAGCTTTAAAAAATTAATTTAAAAGGCTAAAAGAACTGACCTGTACTTCCATAGATTCTCTATTATATTGTTTTAAAAGATCATCAGAAATCATTTTGTTATAAGCCATTCTCCTTTGTGGAATATAAAGTTCCCTATGCCTTTTTTTTTTTTAACTTTCACAAAAACTTTATTGAGAATTTCATACATGCATATAACGTGTTTTGGTCAAATCCATGCCCACTCCCTCCCCTCCAACATTTCCCCCTCTGAAGAGGCAACCATAAAAATCTTTTAAGGATTAGATACAAGCTCCCAAATACTTTTGATATTTTTGGCCTTTGGAACAGAGTATGTTGCTAACAGCGATGCATAAATTTTACTTTAATAGTGGCTTAAACTACCTTTCTATTTAATATTTTATGTAATGCCATGATTTTTTACAATGTGAAAACATGTATAACATTATTTCTATCTGATTCCCTAAAGTATTCAAGGATAACACAATGAACCACTACATTCTGATGTTAGCCTACTGTCCTCAGCTACCCATCTCTCACCTGGTACTTCTGTCAAGCTCCTTACACTACTCTCTTCCCCTTCATCCACAACACCATTCAGTACACTGCACATTTGACTATCTTAACATGTTTATTGTCCATATCCCCCATGACATTCTAAGTTCCAAATAAGTCAATGTTTTTGTTTGTTCACTACTGAATCCTCATCATCTAGAGACGTAATGGTACCTAGTAAGTGGTCAGTACTATGTATGATATCCATAAAATTCATGCTTTCTTGAACACTTATACAGCAAATCAAAATATTAGTAGAGCTAACATATTTAAAATGTGTCTTTGACCCATCATTTTCCAAATGTATTTATCATAAAAACTTCTATAACAGCAGTATAATTTAGAAATAATCTAAATGCTTTTCAGGAAAAGGTTGATACAAAATTATGTAGAAAACTAAATTTCCTTGAAATTGGTGGGTTAAACAGGAGGGAGGGAGGGAGGGAGGGAAGGAGGGAAGGAGGGAAGATTAGGAGGGAGATATGATGGGGGAGCCTGTAGGGAATTGGGGGGAGTGAGAAGTGAATATGATCAAGATACATTTTATACATGTACGAAATTTTCAGAATGACAAAAACTAAAATAAAACAATTAAAATAAAAAGACTGAAAAAAAAAGATTTTACTATACTGGGTGTATATGTAAGTGGTTCTAAAATTAACTCAAGAATGTAATTGTGTGGTGGCAGGAAAAGAGTATAAATGCTTTGTTAGATTATAGATGAGTTAGAACCACAGAGCACAAGGTAAGGCATGGGAGATGAAGAAAGGGGAGGCATGCAGACAGGACCCACACTGTAGTAGCAGCAGCAGCAGCAGCTCTTCTGTCTTGCTCACCTCTGAAAAATTACTGGTTGAATTCAAGAAGTAATTTTTGAGCTTTGAGTTAGTTCCATGCTTCAAAAGAGTTTGTCATTCCTAAGGTAAATTAGTAGTGTTTAGAAGTCAAGACAAGTGAAAATACAAATATATACAACTCATGGACTATGTAGGTTAAATAATGTCTTGTCCAAGTCAGATATTGTGTGAACTGTCTTGAACAATTATATTGAGATATACTAAGAAGGAATTAAGATAGTGTTTTGGACATAGTAGGAAACTGAAAAAAAATTGTTTTAAAACTACTTTAAACCACAGTCTCTGAGTTTACACCAAGTTAAGGAGCCTACTCTACCTACAGAGATAACTGCTAAAGGGAATAAACAGTAAGTATGAGGAAATTAGATGATAAATGGTGAAGAGAGGGAGCTTAGTTCTATTTAAGGGACGATTCTTCACAGAGTCATGATGACTCGTTAGAATTTCCAGTGGATTACAGCAGTCTAGGCCTGAGGCATGGATAGGGGCAACATACCTGACTAGCTAAAGAAGAACAATGAATGAAGGTTGATAAGCAGAAATATATAGTACTATGGTGCTAAAAGGGAATATGATAGTGTTAAACGTCATATTTTACAACAAAGAAAATAGAGACTCCAACAAGTTAACCTGTGCAAGGTCACAGAGCCCATGAAGAGGGGTATGTGGATTGGTACCAACATACATGTTGGATGCAGATATTTTTGACTCCTTAATTGGTTCTCTTATCTACATTGTATCTCCTATACTGTGTCTGCTGGCATTTGTTGAGTATTTGATGCTTTAAAACTGTGTGAAAGTTGGGTATTACTATTGTCCTTCCTTATTTAAAAAGAAAGCCATGAGTAAGATATGAACAAAACTGGAAAGGAAGGAATAGATGGGAGGAGATTTGAAGATGCCTACACAGCTTGCTGCTTGGCAGTGCAGATGTGCAGAAGTGATGTGAAATGGCTAAAGAGGTTTAAATGTTAGGTAACCAGAGGAATAAAGGTAACAATAAAAATTGAAAGGAGGCTCAGAAAGCAGACGTCTTCAGATCTGTGCAAATGGGCAAGGGAAAGAAGTGAGTAATATGTTCCCAAAATGAATACATATTTTATATGAATTGATTTTGCTTATTTTAATGAGTTAAAAAATAAGTGTGTTGACTTCTACAAGTTAAATAATTTGAAACTACTCCATGTAGCCTTCTGGTTTCAATTTGATATGTTTGAGACTTCAAAAATGCAGAATGTTATTTTTATTTTCTTAATCTGTAGCCCACAAATACTAATGCTTAGATAAATTGTTATTGCAGAATAATCACTAAATTTAACCTTAGATTGCATTTGTGACTACAACTTCATTCCAAATGTCTTTTAGCTCAATCTGTAAAACCAAGTACACGAAGAAAGAAAGGGGTAGACCTGGGAGACATTCAGAATTCCATCGACTCTATAAAGCTAACACAGGAGGAAGTTAAAAGGTAATATATTCTGACAGTGAGTCCAGAGAAGTAAAGACCCTGGTGCATAGGAAATCATAAGCTTACTTTACATATTTTAACATTGCTTAAACAAAAATAAGAGCTCTGGCTTCTATTACTTGATGTCTGAAACTCACAAAATTCCTGAAATACTAGAGGAGATAGAATTGTTATAACATTTTTCTCTCTGTGGGGGTAGAAAGGTTTTACTGCTGTAGCATGCTGGGAATGTAGCTTGCTCCTACAATCCCCTTTGTGCATGGCTAATATTTAATTGGAATGTACCATTGTTAAAATACTGAAATACTTCTATAGCAGTTGCCCTGAGAGCAGAACTCTACCCTAGACACCACTCCATGATCCAGCAACTAAAGGGTATTAACACTTAACAAAGGTTCCTGGACGAAAAGTAGTTGTGATCCTGTTCCACTGATAGCAAGAGTTCAGATATGCTGCCTCTCAGTCTATATCAGTTTTAAAAATATTTAATATTAGCCTACCAGCTTTTATGCATTCAACACCCAGTGCTAGATGTATGTTCTGGGCAATTAAAATAAGAAAAAGTCTCTGTTCTTGGATAGTTTCTCTTGTATTTTGTTGCTATTTTATCTCCACCTGCTGTTCTCCACTAGCCCATGTTTTTGTCTTAATGAAGCTTCTCACATCTAGCATATCATGCTTTTTTAGTTTTGGACCATTACCCTCATTGAATCTCAGATTCCTTTTAGTTCCACATTGCCCATCAAGAAAACTTGTTTATCCTTTCTATTACATTCAAATGCTACCTTTTTACACCATTTCTTATCATTCACCTGGCCCTGTTAGGTAGTTAGTTAATCCCTCAAATGAGCTTGCCTAACTCCCCATACATCTTCCTTTGAGCACCTACTTCCATGCAGAGTTGCTAGTGTGTGTGCTGTCCAGCCCCTGGAATTATGAGCTCCTTAGAATGGAGGAAATGACATGCATCGTGGGTGGTATCGGGCCTTAGTAAAGTATTTAGGTTTCCTAATTTAATCATATGCATGAATTAACTTCTTGATTGCTTTGCCTCCTTTCTATAATCTTTATACTGGTAAAACACTTTGAGCGTTCAAGTCCCCAAAAAAGAACAGTACTTCACTCATCAGCTCCTTTTAGCCAAAAGCACTTGAGGTGTCATGATGATATTATAAGCGTATTTCATGACTAATTAACATTTTGGTTGTGTTAGGATAAGAAATCCTACAAAACATTCTTGAATCAGAAAATGCTAGGAAATTTTTATATTACTTTTTCCTAGAGAATTTAGAATTTTTATCTTACCCTTGTCTTCCAAGTACAGATAAAAGGTTAGTGAGCCAACTAAAGAACAAAATACTTGTTTTAAACTGCTATTGTAATGGAGAAGATAATATGTTTCTGTATCATCAAACTTGAGACATTATTTTGAAACATATCAAGTAATATGCTTAATACACATTACCCTGGTTATTGCCATGATCAGGTCCTTGTTAGAATAGTAACTGACTGAACTAGTTACTTTAGATAATGTAATTAGATCCTTTGTGACAGAATCATAATAAATTGTGAGTTTTGTGCTAACATTTCTGAAAAATAATTACCAAATTTATTTTTGCTTATTTTTATAGAAATATTATGGCTCTCCGAAATCATTTAGCTTCAAGTAGACCTGCCACGGATTATTTTCTGCAACAAAAAGACTACTTCGTCATTTTCCTCCTGATTTTGCTTCAAGTCATAATAAACTTTATGTTTAAGTAGAATTTCTCAGCAGTTGAGTCAATGAACTAGAACGATCAGATTTGGCCTGGGACTAATGTTAAAACTGATTTGATCTTTATTTAAAGCATCACACTATTTCTGAAACAAACAAAAAACATAGGAGATAAATGTAGAAGTATCTGTCTACCGTTCACATCTTGTATACATAACCTGAAACAAGACCTATTCCATTTGGTTATTAAAATGAGCTACATGTTAAGTGCCAGGACATTTCTAGCTCTTGTGGGAATGTGTCTACATGTGAGTATAATAAATCCACATGTGTACACAAGAACTCTTATGCAACAGTAGCTTCTGTATTCTACAGTTCTGAAATGTACCAGTACCATTGTTCATAACAGAAACGCTGTCAATGTTATAAGTAGGTGTATAGTGATCTATTTTCTTCATAAGACTGGCATACAACTTTTATCAAGAAATTACAGATGGGGAATGATGGAATAATAGACATTACGAATAACTGAACACACTGTACTATTAAAACCATCTCCAGAGTACCCAGGTCAGTTATCTTCTTAGAAGCACCAAGAAGAAAGCATGAATGGTTAAAATTAATATATTGTAAGAGACAGGTAGCAATTTTTTTAAAGTTTACACAAGATTTTTTTAACCCCTATCTGTATGTACTTGTGTGTGTATATCAATAATAAAAACTGGTATGCAGGTCCATGGATCTATTCACTCTAATACCACCACAAGCACTTGCTGAAAAAGGAATGCTTCCAATTGGTTGCTGTCCTTTTTCTTGCTTTATAGGTCAGCTAGCCCATGACATAATCCAAATTCTAGAGGTGTTTATAGGGTATATGAAATTCTGATAATTCATTTTTTTTAAGAAAAACAGTTTAGCTTTGACATAGCCACTAGTGTGCTCAATGAATAAGTAGAATAGAAAAAATTGTAACTAATATTTTACTTCAAAAGCCAAAAAAGAGAAAGGCAGTAAGAAAAGACACCGTGATGGCCTTTACTTTAAGAACATTAAAATCAGTTTCTTTAAAATGTGCAATAAATCAAATATTTAAGAGTATCAGGTTCTGAAGTTTATGATCTCCCTTTGTTCCTTCTGTGGCAAAAACACAATTCTTTAAGATCCCTTTTGTTCAGTCTCAGGCAATTTGTTTTTCCCCCTAAGGCTTTTTGCTTTTTTCTTCAGTTTAATATTTTGACTTTGTGGTTTTACATAAATATTTATTGTTGTCAAAAACAATGTTTGAAAAGGTAATGAGTATAGGAACATGTCCTAAAATTTATTTTAGGTTCTGGAAACTATAGATTTTAGAAAGATTTATAAAATGAGAAATGCAGATGGAGAGCTGTTGCTCAGGCTGCACTTGCCTTTCACTAAGAAGAGGCCATGAGATACTCGGAGAATCACATCAGCTCTCTGTCCTGTAATAAATACAAAGCAAAGAAATGATTGCTGCATTATGAAAACTGAAAACCTGGGTTTTTCTAACCAATATAACTATCTTAAGTAACCTTAGGTTTCTATGAAGAGCCATTTCCCATATAGCGTTAGCAAAACAATGCTGTATTTCATATGTACACATATTTTTAAAATTTATCAGCATAAACAACATGTACCTATATCCAGTATTTCATTATTATATTAGAACCCAGGTATTTTGGGTTGTATTTCACATTTGTCAATATTTTTTTTGTATTTGCATTCTACTACCGATATGCTCAACTGCCTATTCACGGATATGTGATATTTTGTAAATATTGTACAACTTGATCCTTTATATGATTTAAATTAGTATTAATTTATATTACATGTAACTAGATTGGTTGATCACTAAAAGGCATTTCATTGTTAAACTCTGAAATTTTAAAAATTTTCCTGGTGGACCTACCTTGGGGTTTTGGTCTTAATCCATTTATATGTTATTTTCATTTGGCTTAAATAGTGCTTTATTTGTATTGATATAAGACTGGAAAGGTAGTTGTTTTATTTTTTTAAACTTCCTTTTAGAGCAGATGTTATGGATTCTTACCCAATGAGTCAGAAACTAAAAAGCAGGGTTATTTGTGACTGTTTCTTACACACTAAAAGCATATGTCTAATCAAATACTTCTCTTATGCTTTTAGTTGTGTGAGTTCTTTTCTATGAACTGAATACAAAACTCAGGAACTGGTGGATTAATTTTAGATCAGTAGTTATACTGGGCTTAGTATGTAAAGCCTTTAAAAGGCATAATTTGTGTTTAGCCATACTATGTTCTTGACCTGAGATTAATCTTTCTTCAGACATGGACTCATAATGTATGCGATTTACAGTTTCAGACTGTCTGAAAGCTTCATGTGGTTTCTAGGACAAGTGACTTTATGACCAGTTTTCTTCATTTATCCAAAATATTTTCTCACATGAAAATTTAAATGAGTAGTAATAATTATTGACATTTTTATTGTTTTTTAGTTGTTACATGTACTATATCTTTAGTTATTCCCCTCTAGTAAGATATTGCTGGCTAGGAAAAAACAATATAAGGCAGAAGTGTTAAGTAAGTTACAGCAGTAGAGATTTTACTTGTATTTCATACCAGTACTTTTTCTGTGTGACTTATAAAGGTACAGTGGTAATCTTTGTCACAGCTCAGTTGACAGCTGCATTCCATTGAAAACTTGGCCTTGTAACATACAATCCTCATTTACTATTTCATGCTTTTGTGCCTTTAAGAAAATATTTTTTGTCATTTTGTGTTACGGAACCATAATGTGTTCAAAGTGTTCTTGGCTTATTTGTCATAAAAGGGTCATTTCTCTGTGTAACTTTATTTCCTTTTTATAGCTGAAGAATATTTAACAGTGACGCTGTACTTTTATAAGGGTTTGTCTATTTACCTATTTCACATATATTCTTACTCAGACATCATTGAAGTAAACTTGTCAGATTATTCTGAGTATTGTAAACAGTGCCTTTTGATGGAATTCATACTATTTGGAGTGTCAAGTTGTGCCATTTTCACAAATTTTTGTGGAAGGCAGTTTTAACTTTTTGAAGAATGTCTTCATCAAAATTTAAGAAAACAAATATATAAAATTCAATCTTTTTCCAATGTTTAGCATTTCTAGTCAGCATCAAATGGGTTTTTTGTTTTGTTTTATATACAGGGATGATAGCATTATTGAGCCATACATGAGAATGCAGATTATTTTGAATTATGTTAAATATTAGCATTTGTATCCAGTTTTCTGATTTGACCCAGTGGGGGGAACCTAATATAACTCAGTAAGTTTGCATTTCAAGTTCCATCTTATTTGACTATAAAAAGAGATTCTTTAAAATGTATAACCTGCCACTATTCCATAAATTGGTTTCATTTTCTATATATTGTGTGACTTTAGTATATTTGCTTTTGTTACAGTTAACACACTGTTTTGTTAGTTTTTAATTGAGGATGGACTGTTAAAATTGTATAGGACCAGTGTTTTATTAATATGATTAACATATTTAGAAAAGTTAGAGGAAACCCATGACAAAAATGAATGTGAATACTTTCTAAAGTATTTAGAAAAATTGGCTTCATTTATCATGTAAAATTATTTTAGTATTATAATACTGATTATTTTTTAAAATGCCATGAAACATTTGAATGATCAGCCACAGAACATAAGTTGAATTTTTTTTCACTTTTTAGCATGATAAATATACATTTAATTTTAAGTACATCACTTAATGGCCATTTATAAATTCAAACACTACCACTGGTCAGTTTCGTATGATAGAATAAAAGTATGTTACCTGCAGTGTAAGTACAGCACACTGTCGAATTCTTTTCCTTAAGGTGCATAGTAAATGTATAGATAGTCACAAGCTACTGTTTTGTAATGTATTACATTTCTAATCTATTATTCTTAACCTGTAATAAATGTTTGCAGAAAGAAAAGTTTTTCTAATGATCTGTAAAATTATGTTAACTTCTACAAGTAGGCATTCTAAATAAACTTTTTTTTAAAAGAGCAGTCTGATCAAATGACTTTTGTTACAACATGGTTAACTCAATTAGCTCTAATTTATTTATTTTGCTTTGTTTTGTTGGGGGTATGTGCTGGATAGCTTTAGTGTCAGCTTGACACACCTGGGTTGAGGGAGCCTCAATTGGGGAATTTCCTCTATTGGACTGGCCTGTGGCCATGTCTGAGGGGCATCTTCTTGATGAGTGATGTGGAAGGGCCCAGCCCACTGTGGATGGTGCCACCCCTGGGCAGGTGGGCCTATGTTGCATAAGAAATCAGGCTGAGCAGGGGCCAGGGGAGCAAGCCAGTAAGCAGCATTCCTCCATGGCCTGTGCTCCAGCTCCTGCCTCCAGGTTCCTGCCCTGAGTTCCCACCTTGGGCTCCCTGATGAACTGTGACCTGGGAGATGTAAGCTAAATAAACCCTTTCCTCCCCAAGTTGGTAGTGGTCAGAGTATTCTGTCACAGCAATGAAGAAACAAACCAGAACAGGGTATATGCAAAAGATGCTTGAAAGGGATTGAACAGATCTCTTAACGTATGTCTTTACTTGGTGCTTGATATTGTTCCTTTTTAATTTTCCTAACAACTTTAAAATAAGTGGAAACTATCCATATTTTATACATGAAGAATGAGGCTTAAGGAAGTTAACTCCCAGCTGGGTGCGGTGGTGCACGCCTTTAATCCTAGCACTTGGGAGGCAGAAGCAGGCGGATCTTTGTGAGATCGAGGCCAGCCTGGTCTACATAGTGAGTTCCAGGACAGCTGGGGCTTTCTAAAAAAAAAAAAAAAAAAAAAAAAAAAAAAAAGTTAACTCCCAAAACTAGACAGTAAGAATGAAAACAGTCTTCTGTAAGAATAAAAATATGTTTGAATCCCTGTCTATAGAGCACTTCAATAGAACTTTGGTTGTAGTATTTAAATGTTTAGACTAGCTCTGCTTAAATCTGTATTAAGGATAGTGATAAACAGAAACAGAAAAACTATTACTATTAAACATATGCTAAGCCATATGAAAGTTGTTTCCCCCAGGTCACCTGTAAAGAGTCCATACTGAGTAAACCTCAGATAGTTTTCATCCAAGAAATTCTGACCCTTGTGTCCCTCTACCTCTTCCTACTTGGTACTTGCCCTCAGAGATTCTACACTATAAACAAGCAAGGAGAACCTAGTTTTCTCCTTATCTAGTGTAAGAATAAGGAAGAAGGAAAATAGCTCTCAGTATCTAAATGAAAATCTACAAGATTACTTTTCTGCTAATATTGACATGTTTTGACTCTACCAAGTGTTCTGCGCTGTGCTATTAGACTAACTGGATTTTCAGTGTCTTACAAAATAGCCTTGTGGATTTAATGAGCCCAAAGTGGTCTTCTACCATAACAATTTCATATACACGTATTTAACTTGAATTCTTACTCTGTGTATGAAATTATAAAGTACTTTTTATAGAATATCCACCCCAAAATTTACAAACTTTTAAAAATGTATGTTATCTTGAGGTTTTGATTTTTTTTTTTCTAAGATGATCAAAGCAGAGGCCAAAGAATATGATTGACTAGCAGACAATCTCAATAGAAACCTAAAGCTTTCCTTGAAGTCTCTGTGTTCTAAATACATGAACTAGTTCTACTTCGGCAGTATGTACACTAAAATACCTCAGTGTGCGTTAAATTGTACTACTGATGATCATCAATGTGACTAGAGTAAAATGTTTCTACCAAAGGAAAATGGCTAAATTGTAGTTGGTGTTTCATTGTGTACCTGAGTGCAGGAAACGTACAAGCTTCTGCAGAAGACATAAAACCTGAAACTCATGGTGGTGGCCAAGTGTCCTAGTCAGTCCTGTAAATCCTGAAACTTCTGTGAGGACAGAACAGTGTAGAGTGAATAGGTGCCACAAAGCCAGCAGCAGCTTCTGGCAGGGGCAGTATCCATGCCCTCTTTCCGCTAGTCCCTCTATAGCAGGTGGTGCCCACGCCCACCTTCTGGCTAGCCCCTCTATAGCACTGACTGGGGAGGGCGCTTCCGAGGAGACAATACCGCGGGAGCAGTTGCATCACTGCAAGGAACGGCTTGTCTGTGAGCCGCAAGGACCAGCTTTGCTCCGCCCCGGACACCCCCCCTCCCCCGTGATTGGCTTGTGCAAGCCAAGGAGCAGTACTGTGCAGCGAATCCACTCAAGCCATTCAAGCTACGCTGCGACTTCCGGCCTTCTTCCCGCCCTTTCCGTTCCTGGCGAGTTCTGCTGTTTTCCTGGTCCTGACCTCCCACCAGTTGGCTAGCTGGAGGCAGCTCACAAGCTTCAGGTCTATGGCCGCCCCAGGGTCTGTGACTGTGGCGCTGCAGGTGGCCGAGGTGCTGGAAACCATCGTGAGCCGCTGCGTGGGGCCTGAGGGACGGCAGGTGTTGTGTACGAAGCCCACTGGCGAGGTGCTGCTTAGCCGGGATGGAGGTCTTCTCCTGGAGGCCTTGCACTTGGAACATCCCATAGCCAGGTACCTCTCTCCACCTCCAGTAAGCCAGGCTTGCAGCCTCCGTCAACTTCGTTTTGTCTCCCTAAACTTCGTTTAGTCCCGAGGCCCTAAGGCCGTGGACCTAGAGAAAAAACCTCCTGAGACCAGCACAGACCCCGGTTTAGAGTGCTGCCCAAAGGAGTAGGCATCAACCCCAAATTTTATTAACTACCAAGAACTCTTTTCACTCGTTTCCCAGGATCTTAGAATAAAACAAAGTAACTTAGAAAAGGGAAAAAATTAAGCTAAGTCTGTGTATAAAAAAGATAGTCTATGTCCATAACTATAAAAACGGGTTTAACTTGGTTCCAAAGTAGAAAGCCAATCTTCAGAAAATCTGAATTGCTTTTTCTTTCTCCCCGTACAGGATGATAGTGGCATGTGTTTCCAGTCATCTCAAAAAAACAGGAGATGGTGCTAAAACATTTATTATTTTTCTTTGCCATTTACTAAGAGGACTTCATGCAATCAGAGAAAAAGAAAAAGAGTCATTCACTTCTGAAAATATTCATACTCATGCCTGGCATTGGAAAAACAGTTGTCAGTGGAAATATATTGCCCAAGCTCTACTAATGTTTCAGACACAAATACTAGATGGCATTGTGGACCAATATTTAAGTAGACACTTTCTGTCCATCTTTTCTTCACCAGCTAATGAACGAACATTGTGTAGGAACTCCTTAGAATTACTCCTGGAAGCATATTTTTGTGGAAGAGTAGGAAGAAATAATCACAAGTTTATTTCACAGTTGATGTGTGACTACTTTTTCAAGTGTATGACTTGTAAAAGTGGGGTTGAAGCATTTGAATTAGTGGATAACTGTTTTGTAGAATTGAATGTTGGTGTGACTGGTCTTCCTGTTTCAGATTCTAGAATTGTGGATGGACTTGTGCTTCACAGAGACTTCTCTATTTATTGCCCAGCAGATGGTGACATAAGAATGGTGATAGTAACAGAATCCATCCAGCCTCTCTTTTCAGCTTCTAAGTCAGAGTTTATTCTAAATTCAGAAGCACAGTTTCAGACATCTCAGTTTTGGATTATGGAAAAGACAAAAACAGTAATGAAACATTTACATAGTCAGAATGTGAAACTGCTCCTGTCCAGTGTGAAACAACCAGACCTGGTTATTTACTGTGCAGGACTGAGTGGCATATCAGTGGTGGAGTGTGTATCAGCAGAGGAAATTTCTCTTATCCACAGGATTGCTGGCCTTTCTCCATGTGCCCTACCACAGGTCTCTTCACAGTGTGACATTTGTAGCACTGCTTTGGTGAAGTTTTGTAAACCCCTTGTCCTTAGATCCAAAAGGTACGTTCATCTTGGCTTGATTAGCACATACACGTTTATACCACACTGTATGATCCTTTGTGGACCAGTTCTGGGTCTTGTTCAACAACACGAGAGTGCTCTTCATGGAGCATTCAAAATGCTTAGGCAGTTATTTACTGACCTTGATCTAAATTATGTAATACAAACCAAAGACCAAAATGACACATCAAGTCCTCTTATTTACAAAAATAGCAGAGAAAATATTCCGTTACCAGAAATTGATAAGTATCAGGACATAATAGTAAAGAAAAAAGATAAATTAGAAAAAACTCAGAACTGCTTAAAAGTATATTCAAATTCGGTATCTTCAGATATAGACTTAGAAACAGAAATACCATGTTCAATATCCAAAGTGACACCAACAGATACATTCCAAACAGATGAAACTCTGAAGTGTTCATCTCCCCCCAAAATCTGGAAAATCAATGACCATGAACTGTTAATTGAGAATAATTCTACTGAAAATCCTATAACAGAAAACACTAGAGCAGAAATTTCTTATGAAAATGTACAGATCACAGATACTGCTAGAAGGGGACACATGCTTCTGGCGAGATCTAAGTTGCTGACTACACATGCTTCCCAGGATCACTGTTCCTCGACTATGCCAGCAGGCTGTGTTTTGCCAGTGGGTGGTAATTTTGAGATCTTGTTACATTATTATCTTCTCAATTTTGCCAAGAGATGCCCACAGTCTGAAGAAACTGTGGTCAGTGTGCTAATTGCTAATGCACTTTTAGGCATTCCCAGAATCCTCTGTAAGCCTAAGAAAGGAATTCACAGCTTTCCACTGCTCTATCTCAGATCTCTCCAGGCACTGCAAACCACTCAACCCATGATAAGTGGTCAGGCAGGTTTGGAATCAGTAGCTGCTAAGTACCAGTTGCTAACTTCAGTTTTTCAATGTTTGACAAAAATATTAACCATTGATTTAATAATCAGTATTAGGAGACAGCCTCAGAAAACTGGCAATGAAGATTCAGAAGAGGAATTTTAACATTTTAAAGTATTTTTAATACAGCTTTTCATTCTGGGCCAGTTTCTATGGCTCAGTAGACAAGGAAACTTAACATCAATCCTGAAAACCTGAGATCAGTACCCACATGGTGGAAGGAGAGAGCCAACTCTCAGAGATTGTCCTCTGACCTCCGCTTGTACTGTGGCACTAAATAATTGTAAGAAAAAGCAACTTTTAATTCAATTCAAGCTATAAAACAAAGCAGGCATTTTACTGGCTTTGAAGTCATTTCAGACTTTACAGAAGTCCACCAAGTCCACAAGACCATTCATTCTGACTAGAATGGCATCTTCAGGTGCCATCTTATTTTAGTTGTTTATAAGCATACATACAGAATGTTATTTAAAACAAGTTTCCATAGTTAGACTTTGTAAAGCAGTTAAAGCAGTTAATTTATATTTTTTAAAAGTATATAAATTCATTTTCCCTTTGTTGCCATTTGCTTTATTTCTATTTCGTTTGGAAAAAAAACAAAAAACCTTAAATGGCTCGATAGGTAAAGTGTTTGCCGTGCATGCCTGGCAACCTGAGTTTGACCCCTGGAAGCTATGTAAAACTGGAAGGAGAGAACCAACACTACAAAGTTGTCCTCTAGCGGCCTCATGTACTGTGGCACATCTGTGCACATACAGTTTTTAAGAGTTTGGGTAGATTTTTCACTTGTGCACCATTGAAATTTTGGTCTGTGATACCAAAAATCAGACTATGCATTGTGAATTCATTTTCCTGTAATGAGAAGTTAATACCGGAAAAGATAAGGAATTTGTATTTTCCATTTCTCCTGGCTCCTAAAATCTTGCAAAGATATTTCGTGCGGTTGTTAGGGGTTTGTTTTTTTTCTTCTGTTTTTTTTTTTTTTCTTGTTTTTTTTGTTATTTTGGGTGACTGGCCAGAGTTAAATAGTAACAATTTGGCAGTAATTTGTAGTGTACATTTGTGAATGTTTACATCATTTTTAAAAGCTTACAAGGACAGTGTCTTCTACTTTCAGTAGTTCCCTGTAACACCTAGAACAGTGTTTTTTTACTCCAAGTATTTCTATGTGCCTGTGAAGTGACACAGTTGTATCTCAACTGTCCCCCTAAGTACATCTTTCTAGTTTATTTATTTATTCAACAAATTCTTAACTGTGTGAAAATACTGGGCTAGATGCTGAATATGCATCATGCACATTGCTTTAAATGGTTACTGGCCTGTGTCTGCATTCAGGAAAAGTTAAGAGAAAAACCTGTAGTGGACTGGAGAGATGGTTCTAGCTGCTGCACAAGCATGAGGAACCGGAGTTCAAATCCCCAGAACCTACATAAAAAGCCAGGCTTGGCAGTGAAAGTCTGTAACCCCAGAACTGAGGGCTGGGTAAATCCATTCAGATCCTGGAACTCATAGGCCAGCCTGTCTAACCAGTTACTGAGTTCCAGCTTTAGTGAGAGACACTAATTCTGTCTCAGGACAGAATACTTGGAGAACAATTGAGGAAGACACCAAGCATCAACCTCCGACCTCCATGTGCGTGGTCACCTTCACACATACAAACATGTACATAGACCTCATGCACACACAAGCCTGCAGTGTCGTCACACAGTCTCATGATTTTTTTTAATATTAAGCACAGTACTATTTTAAAGGTTTATGCCATATGATGTATTATTTCATGAGACCAATCTAGCTCTTAGTTTGTAGATAAATGAACCTACATTAAAATTGCTGTGCATTTTTCCCTGTTCATTTTTAATTGTCTATGAGGTCATTTTGCTTTATTTTGTTTCTATTGTTTCAAATATTCTTCAGTCATTAAAGGCATGTGAAGACTTCCAGATGTGTCCGGTGGTTTGTATTTGTTTTCATTTCATGAGTGTAAATGTCAATAGTTAGGCGACTCCTGTAGTCTGTGAGTGGTCTTTGTATGATTGGCACCGGGTTATAGTCTGCATAAAATGACTTTCCAATAAGTGTGTGTTCTGAGCATATTTATTGAATGACTAGTCACATGGCCTTTATAGATGGGGCATATAATTTTCTTACAGACATTCAGGAATAAGAGATCTGTTTAGGGGGAAAGGAGCAGGGAATGTAGAGCAGAGCTCTGAGTGTGATAGTGCTTGCTTGCAAGCCTAGCACTCAAGAGATGGAGGCAGGAGGATCCGGCGTTCAAGGCCATCCCTGGCTGTGTGAGACCTTGTCTCAGAATGAAAGGAAAGAGGAAAAAAAGAAGGGGAGAGGGAAGGGAAAGTATAGAACAGATTCATACAAAGTAATCTTTTTATTAAGAATCTGTCCCTCAGTAATGATGATAAAGCTTTCATGAGTGATCCTTACAGAATTGGAACTGGGTATGTACATCATTGGCTTAGAAGAAAAATATAGGGACATTTTTTAATGTAATTAAATTTGTGCCATCTACCACAAGGTAATAAGAGCAAAGTTACATTAAAAATCTGAATAAAAAAGAATTGGGACACAGAAAGGTGTGGAGACAGTTTGAAATCAAAGCCATTTTCCTGTTTTCTAATGCTGTGTGATAAATAGCCCCAATGCCTCCCTGGACTTGACTGCATTCTGGTGTGGGAGGATCAGGTAAACTGAGGCTCACGGAGGAACTCGGGACTCACTGCTCAATGAGAAGGGTGTTGATGTCATGTCAAATTATAAGAATAGCATGTGGAATGGACTGTATATTGCAGCAGCTGTCTTTGGAAAATACAGTCTGTTACCCCATGGGAGGGGAAAGAAGATAAATATGCATCAGCTTCTCAGCTGAGGTTTTCTGAAGTTACATATCAATCTACCTCCCACATATTCTCCAGTCACCTTTGTGAATCTGATTTTTTTTTCTTATTGAGCCTGCATGAGCCATTTTTATCTTCAAACCAATAGGCATTAAATAATTGAACATTCTGGAACTGCTTCTGTCAGAGGAGCTGTTTACTCATGTTAAACAGAAAGCAAATGTCATCTCATATCCATGTTTCAAACCAAAAGGAATGGGAAGAAGATGTGATTTAAGTATGAGCAGAAATTTCTCATCTTCTCCCTAAAGCAGTACACTGTCTTTTCCAGTTATTGCAGAGCGAGAAGGTAAGTGGTCACATGCACACACATGCACATGGCACACACACACTCAGTTACTCGGTGCAGTTAGACTAGCAAAACATTGGTACCAAGTTTAAAAGGCTGGGTGGAAAGGATATGTGCAACATCTATTTACTGATTTAGGAAAAAATTATTTTCACTGTCTTAATTGCTGTTAGATGAGCTTTAACTCAAGGACAAGACCCTCAGGGACAGAAGGGACAGAAATGAGGAAATCGATTGGCATCACTGCTTGACCAGGCAGAGCTGTCTCTATCCCCCTGGGCTACTCAAGACTTGTAGGAATGAAATGAACTGCCATTTGTCTCTGCATTTCAGAACCTCTGTTTTGGCAGCTCTACCTTTATTCCAACAACAAAAAACCTCTTCTGTGGCTGTATGCTTAGCTTTATAAATAAATTTTTGAAAATCAGGTAAACATCAAAACAACTAATATCTACTTTTAGACTTTGTTAACATTTTTCAATACTTCTTTTTTCCAAGATGGTCTTATTGTTTGGGAGGGTGGTTTGAGGTATATTTTAATGAAAACACTAATTAAAAATAATTTGCATTTTTAATTGGAAACCACTGTGGTGGCAAGGGCTTTGCCACCACTGTTGGACCAGGTCCCCTTGAATGTTCTTGAGGCACCTGATAGACATGTTCTCTTCTCTTAGAAGTTCTTGTAACTACTTCAGGGACTGGGTTCTTCTCAAGTGTTTAACTACTTTGAGTTTTGTATTCCCCAGAGGGATATTCTTGTATATTTGAGAGCATGTGCCTTTTCTAATCCAAGCATCTTTACTGTATCATTTTCCCAATATGGTCATCATCTGTGCTCTTTATTCTGGTAACAGTATATGGGCTATGAAGGTGACCTGGATCCTCAATGTATTTTTCATGACCTTCAGGCATAGACCAAAACACTTTATCTGAAATTCTTGTAACTACGATGAATCCAATCTGTGACGTACCTAATCTGTACCAATGAGAGTCTCCATACCTTTTGTCACAGTCCGTTGCCTGCCTTTGGGCCTCTGGATGACAAGCGCAAAAATCCTTTATAAATAAGTGTAGTGCCTGTTCTCTTTAGAGGCAGCATCCACTAAAATATTCAGTGTTATCTGTGGAAGCCTGAACTTCCCCAAGATGCTTTTAAGAGGAGTCATGCTTTATTTCAAATTATCTTCTGTACCATGTGGTCCTGTAAAAGCATCATCTCCTAGTGTCTCAAGTTCTTGAATGGGTAGTGAAGTGCCAGAGGAAAATGATGGTAAGTTTCCATTGAAAAGAAAAGAAGAACCTTAGAAAATGGAATGTGAGATGGAATGAGTGGTTAATGGGACCGTGAAATCTGGTCAAGAATGCTGCACAGTATATAGGATAGGAATTCAAGTAATTTTGTTTTAATATTAAATATATAAATAACTACAAACCTGTAATCCCAGCACCTGGGAGGCTGAGACTGAAGGCCTCAAAAAGGCAAACAGGACTAAAGAACTTCAAATCACCAGCATAAAGTCAGTGCACTTTAGTATACAAATGAATAAACCCAGGGCTATGCATAACACCCAACACAGGGCCATCTCAGACTAAGCAAAGTAACTGTGATGCTTCTCAGTCTCTGGCCTCATGATCTAGAACTTGCCTGCAAAGCCTTCATCTGGGCCTTTGCAATTACTGACTCAGCTTCGGTGTCCACCTCTTGCATAGCTATGAATGGGGGAGACATTTCTTTCACTTGTCAATACAGTGTGTACTTAACCTTTTTTTGGGGGGGTGGAGGTGGACAAGATCTCCCTGTAGCTGGAACTTGCTATGTAGACCATGTTGTCCTCAATCTCATAGAGACCCACCTACTTCCCTCGGCTGGGATTAAAGGTGTGTACCACCACACCTAGATTTTGGTCACTTTTTTCCAAAATGTATGTATGTTTATGTGTATTAGTGTTTTGCTTGCATGTATGTAAGTACACCTGTGTTGTGCAATACCCATGGAGGCCAGAAGAGGTTGTTGGATCCCCTGGAACTGGAATTACATGAAGATGCTAGGAACCGAACCCAAGTCCTCTGGAAGAACAGGCAGTATTCTTAACCACTAAATCACCTCTCCAGCCCCTTGGCCATTTTTTAAAGAAACAAGGGAGTCCTCCGTGGGCCATATTTTATATCTTGAATCCTTGTCTAAGAACCAGTGTACATGGTGCTTTTTGATACAGAAAATCACAGTGAGCATTTAAATGTAGTGCAGTATGTCCAAGAGACAGGTGGGTGGGGCCTGATAGGGATGATGGGTTTAGGAGATGTCATGGTTTTTAGGCTTTAATATTTGGACTTCAAGTCTATATTCAGATATTCTGTTGCACCTGATTGTGAAATCTGTGAACCTCATTTCCTCCTCCTGAGGCTCTAGTTTTTGAGATAGCTCTTCACCCACACATACACCCTAAAGGGAGTTTCCAAAGGCTTGTGATTTTTTGTTGTTGTTGTTTTCTTTTTTTCTTTAATGCAGGGCTGACCCTGTACCTTATGGAGAAAGCTAGAATTCTTCATGGTTATTGTGTTGTCAGACTGTTCATGAATTAGACTGGAAAACTGATGAAAATAGAATGTTTTTAGTTTGACAGCTGTATTAGTCAACTTTGCACCACTGCAACACAATACCAGAGTAACTTAAAATGAGAAAAACTTGATTTTGGCTTATGATTTGAGATTACAATCTATGGTCACTCAACTTTTCTATTTTATTGGCTTGTGGCAAGGTTGAGCATCATGGTAGACTAAGAGAAGCTCACCTCATGGAGCCAGGAAGCAGAGAGAAGGGGCCAGGGTCCCAGTATATCCTACAAGGGCAAACCTCAAGAACCAACTTCTTCACCTAAGCCGCATCTCCTGAAGTTCGTCCAAACTCCCTCTAGCATCATGGGCTGTGCACCTTGTTTAAGTACATGAGCTTTGCCTCCTACATAAGGGATCAGACTTTGACAACCGAATTCTTGGCCAAGTCTCTGAAGAAAGTCTAGTATTATCTGATCCTGTCTTTCATGGTCCTTGACTAATTTGACAGATTGTAGAATTGAAGTTAACTTGTAAAAGGCTAATGGTGATTCTTGTTCTTTGTAAAAAAACAAATGTTGCCTCACCAAGGTCTGTCAATGCTGGTTTTGCATTATCAGTGTGCTAACTCTCTGACACTGTAACAAAATACCTAATAAAAATCTGCCTAAAGCAGGAAAAATTTATTTGAGCTCATAGGTTCAGAGATTTCAGCCCGTGGTCACTGAACTCTGTTGTTTCCGGACCTGTGGAGAGGCAGGGTATCCTGGTGAGACAGTGTAGTAGATAGAGCAGAGCTGCCATTCACTTCAGGGAAAGAGGGAGGGAGGGAGGGAAGAGGAACTAAAATGCTGGGAACAAATAAACCCTTCCATGGCATGTCCTTAGCTTTCCTAAAGGTCCTATGACTTCCCACTAGTTCATTAAGCTCTGAAACCATCAGTGGATTAATATGTTCATGAAGCCAAAGGCCTCACGATCCAGTCTCTTCCAAAAGGCCCCACCTCTGAGTACTGTTGGATTGGAGACTGAGCCAACATGGGAGCTCTGGAGGAACCACTTACAATGCAAACCATAATAATTAACAAATATCAAATTTAGTCTTCCTGGTTGCCTGTATATGTATTTTCCCTTTGGAGTCTGCTTTTCTCAGTGCATAATGAGTAAAATAAAATCTTCTACAT